ACTTTAAAATGTAAACCACTACTTCAAAAAGACATTTGCATCTATCTATATGTTCAGTACAAAATTATTTACAATAGTCAAGATATGGAGGCAAGCTGGAGGTCTATTAATGGATGAATGGAAAAAGAAGAGGTGGTGCATATATACAATGGAATATTACTCAGCCATAAAAAAGAATGAAATCTTGCCATCTGTAGCAACATGGGTAGATCTAGAAGGTATTGTACCAGATGGAGTCAGACAGAGAAAGATAAATACCATATGATTTTACTTATATGTAGAATCTAAAGACAAAATAAATGAGCAAATATAAAGGAAACAAACTCATAAGTAGAGAGAAGATTTTGAGGGTTGCCAAATGAGAGAAGGGCTGAAGGGGATGGAAGGAAAAGGGGAAAGGATTAAGAAGTACAAATTGATTGTTACACAGTACCCATGGGATGTAGGGTATAGCATAAGGGATATTGTCATTAATATTGTAATAACTGTGTATGGTGTCAGATAGGTACTAGATTTATTGGGGTGATCACTCCTTAAGTTACATAAAGGTCTAATCACTATGTTGTATACCTGAAACTACTAATATTGTATGTCAATTGTAACTAAAAAATAAAAAATATATACAGAGGTGCCAAAAATGTATACATATTTTAAGAAAGGAAAACTGTATTAAAATTGTAATACTCAATGTATACCAATAATGAAAGATGAATACACATCACATTTGACTTCTGCAATTACAAGAAGTGCTCAAAGTGGTTACCATCAGCATCTAGACACTTCTGATTACGGCGAACTACTGCTTGAGCAACATTGAACAAAGTGTCCACTGGTATACATTTTTTTTGGCACCCCGTTATATTTTTTAAAAATGTAAAGTTCTCCAACGGGTTCAATGCACTTAAAATTCCGCCTCTTGGAGACTCATTGACCAGGCCCTGGCCTATCCCATTGATCTTATCTCTGAACTTCCCTCTCCACCCATCCCTCTGCGCCCAGGGTAGTCCCTAAATCTTGCCCTCTCCACCACCACACCTTTCCCTAACTCCCACCCCCAACCCTAATGCCTTCCTCCATTCTGGCCACACTACATCTGTCTCTAGAACAAACTAAGCAACCAGGAACTTCAACTGCATTCTCTTCCCAAATCAAACGTCGTCTCTTCAGAGAGGGCTTTAGCTGAGTGCCTCATCAACAGTCACACTCTATATTATTTCTCTGCTCTTCATAGCACTTACAATAACCTGATATTTTCTTATTTATTGTCTCCTTCCCCATGCGAACCACCACCCTCTCCCACCATACTGTAATATAAGCCCCTGGACAGCAGGAACCTTATCCACCTTGTTCAAACATCTATCTAGAAATATCACAACAGAGCTCATCATATACTCGTAGGTGCTCATTAAACATTTGATGAGCAAGGTGGGGGAAGGAAAAAATTATCAGCGGGAAAGATTTTATCTGAACATTGCCTCCAAGTTTATGTTATGATGTGCTTGGGGAAGTGACTAAGATTGTGCATTTTCTTTCTCAGCGCCAGTTTGTGTGACATACTGAAGTAGAAGCAGAAAATGGGGATCTAGTTAAGGCTGTTTTTTGTATGGGTTTACTGGGGAACTTCTTAGAAATCAAGGCCTCTAAGAGATTCATCAGGTTAACTCTGCAATGACTTATGGCTTTTTTTTAAGTGTTATAACCAAGACATTCAAATACAATAAAACAAGAAACTTAAAAATGTAGGAGGAAGGGGCGCAAAATCGACACGGATTTGCTCCAAGAAATGCAGATATTCAGATTCCAACTGGACTCGCATCTTTGAAATCAGTCATAACCTACCCTCATCCACCACCCCCACCATTCCACAAAAAACAATGCCACAGAGAAACAATACCAGGCTTATCCTCATGAGCCTCAAACCTTTGGGTCTATCTGTATTCCCAAGTTGAATTCCTAGCACTGACAATCATAAAGTTGCTGGATGGGCTAAAAAGCTATGCCTTTGAGGAAGACACAGAATCCCTGGAATCTTGGACATGAACAAACATAGTATCAACCCTAGAGCTAGTTTGGTACCTCTAGCTTCTTGCCCAGACTCCAGCTAATATTTGAATCTTTCTAGTTCTGTACAGGTACAATTATCTTTTCCCTAAATTGCTAAAACCACAGCTAGAAGTTGTCCTAAGAGATGGAATATTCATTGATTAAATCAAAAGCAATCAGTGACAAGGACATACACTGTCATGCTATACAAAGATAGTGATTAGCTCTTAGAGTGCTACAAAAAATCTGATGGGAGGATAACTAGAAAGTTCTGTATTTTATTATTAAAATAAAAACATTTCTGACCATGTGGCAACTCCTAGATGAACAAACTACAGCTCAACTATGATGTAATCCTAAACACTCATTAAATCTATTTCAAAAATAATGGTAGAAATAAAGAAGAAGACACAAGTTCTTCCTTAATAAAGGAAAAGACAGGTAAAACATACAGAGTATTAAGGCTAAAGCTCCAGGCTGTTTGATTGTTAAAAGGAAAAACTAAATTCATTAAATTTCAAGCATTTGCTTCACAGACAAAATCATTCTAAGGGAGTTTGTAAAATCCCACTTATTGTCTATCTGATATAAAAGTGACACCAATGGTGGGTACTTGGACAGGATAGTGACAGTTCAAGAGGAAGGGATAGCCTCGCCGCCATTCTTACCTCTTAAAACCTGAAACACAATGACTTGCACTGGAATAGTTTTACTCTTCACCATGTGTCATAACTAGATGAGTGGGGAGAGAAGGAACAGAACTATCTACCTATGCCTCAATATCCAAATGTGGGAACAGCTTTTTTCCTGTTCTCTTCTTCTTCCGCCTGATGATGAAGGCACTCTGCTAGGTGGTTGCTGATTGCAGTCTTTAGCATTAGAACAAAGTTGATGTCTAAGTAGCACAGGAATGATCACTGCTGATTAGGTTGGGGGAAAGCACTTTCCCAAAACCATTCCACAGAAACAGACCAACAAGAACAAGAAGAGACAGGCCTTGGAAAACAGTTTTTCTCAGTCAAGTTTTGGGTCACTGGGAGAAAAGGGTGTTTCTTATGTTAATTCCACTGAGGGACACCTGGCTGCGGGATCTTCTTGAGGTCAGGGGGAGGGAACAGATAAAGGTCAGAGGCCAGACTATTAACATCAGAGCACCCCTCACAACTTTTGTCTTGCTGACAGGTCAGCTGAGAGCAGGAACTTGGGAGGCTGCAAATGCAGAGTTGGGATATTTACACCAGAAAAGAGAGGAAGGAATGAATTTCTCCAAGTTCCAGGCTAGTAATGAGACTTTAAAGAACTCTGTCCCTTGTGTAGAAGAAAACCTATCAGGCTGAATGCAGTTGGGTTCTAGTCCCTACAGAATTAACTCAAAACAGACATTTTTACCTCCACACAAGCTTGATCCCTCACTCACTCTTTCGTACATGAGGCTGTTCACTTGGTCACAGTTAAGTGGGCCCACAAGAAAATGCATCTCAAACACTAAATTACGTTTACAAGACGGCTTTAAAAGTAATAATCTGTCCAGAAATTCCAACTCTTTTTCAGTCAAGTACAGAGAGTGCCTAAAAAAATGTATACACATTTTAAGAAAGGAAAACTGTATTAATTGTAATAATATATACCGATAACAGAAAATGAACACAAGTCAAGTTTGACTTCTGCAATTACAAGAGGTGCTCAAAGTGGTTACCATCAGCGTGCAGACACTTCTGATTACAGCGAACTACTGCTTGAGCAACATTGACCAAAGTGCCCACTTGTCACACTTTTTTGGCACCCCCAGTATTTACCAGTCGACATCTTCCTCTTTATCACTGCATGATTTGTAATTTTTTTGTTCTAGTTTTGATAAGAAAAAGTTCTTTGCTGTCTTAGAGAAATAACACATGGTTACTGTTTTAAATGAATTGTTACTAATAAGTTTATCTTTAGATTAAGCAGGAAATAAATCTAATACCAGATTAGAAAGAAAACATTTTTCATCCCCATTTGATTACAATTACTAAATGTTGGGCGATGCTTGTAGACCTACTATTGCTTTTTAACTTGGGATTTGCTTGGAAAAGTGATCCTTTTAAAACATCCAGCCAAATTAATAGTAATTGAAACTTAGCCATTATTTCATGACATTTTGGATAGTTTTTCCTTGATAGCATGGAGTTAAATACATTTATTTGGATGCTCTTGGTTTATCTTCCAAAACCTCCTCTCATTTTTTTTACATGAAAAGCCATCTGAAGATGTTGACTCTACAGTTTCCATCAAAAATGTTAACTTGCAACCACAAAGCTACATTTTGAATATGTTTCTTTACTTTTGAACTGATGCCTTTGCAGAGAAGCTATCCTGCTCAACACCCGAAGAATATGAGGGGTGATAAGTTTTCTTTAAATTTGTGGGCTATTTATTTCTCAAGAGTAAATCCTGAACATTTGTTTTGTTTTTACGAGTAACCAGATAACTGTAGTATGAATATTTCCTTTCTAGCCAGCTTAATTAAGTTCAATACTGATCAAGGTTGATGTTGAATTTTATTAATTATTCTCTGTTGGCTGTAACTGAAATCATAATCATCTTTGAAAAGGCTGCTAATTATGATATCTGTTTGCCTATATGGCATGAAATACTTTTCCCGAGAATATGCCAGGGATCTTAGGAGGGGAAAAAAAGTACTTTTAGCCTCACCTTGCAAACAGAGACTTAAGTTTTACCAAGCAGGTCAGGAACAGGGTCAAAAATATCAGAAGTAAGAAAGAACACTCATACTTAGTTTCAAGCTCAACAGGAAAGGATTTTTAAAATCACACAAAAAGTCCTTGTCTCAGACTTTGTTAAAAACAAACTTGTAATGTGAGAATAGGGCTAAAAGTTAAATGACCTTTCCCAGCTGTGGGTTTCACAGCTAACAAACGCATCAAAAAGAGAAGATCGTGCAAAAGTGCTCTCCTTACCTTAGGTGAAAGCAGTGCACCAGCTTTGTTACTACTGTAACCATCTTTCCCAGGTCAAGAGCAGGGAATGCTAGGGTGACAAGAAGTGTAGAAAGAAGCGATGATTTCAGCTGCAGGACTCTTCTCTTCCCAGGGCACCTTCTGCCGTGACACACCTCCTCTCTCTGGCTCAGAAGAGAAGGGGCTCTTACTCGCCCGTCACGGTTAACCACACGCCTGTCATTTCTGCTCAATCATCCAGCAGCTGCCTTAAGCACCCTGCTGAAGCGTGGGCACGGCGATAGTGAGCCCAGCGCCGAGCAGGTAGTGGCTTCGGCTGGCGGACTCCTGGGGAGCTCGCGGCTGCGCTGCTGCGCTGCTGCTGCGGCTGCTGAGGATGCTAAAGCCGCACGTTATTGGGCAAAGATTATCAGCTTTGCTGGAACTAGGATCATCAGCTGCGGCAGAAGCCCAGATGCCAAGCCAAAGCTTGCGGTGCTACAGAGCATGCTCGGCTTTTCCGCCGCTCCACATGGGCCTTTCAACAGAGAGAGGTCACTTCTCTTCCTGATTTGAAAAGGGAAGAATAGAGATGTGAGCCGAGTGTGAGATTTAGTGGAGGTAATTTCTTGAACCTGGAGATGACCTTGCCCCCATCTCCCTCTGCAGTAAAAGAAATGAAAAGGACATATTGCGTTGCCCGTAGCAAATATTTTTGATTGATAGGTTTATAGCGATGTTTGGAAGCTAATGGTAGTGTTTAGTCTTTAACTCTCTCCCTGCACAATTAAGTTGCCTCTGGGGTCAAGTATGTGGTGTCGGCAGTGAAAGGCTTTTAATCCTAGCAAATCACTGTCGCTCAAAGATGAGGTGTGGAATTGCCTATACGTATTAGGAAGTCTAGGTGATATTTACACAAGTGAAATCTGCCTACAGACAATTTACTTTCGTAAGTAAAACAAGTATTTTATAAAGTAATTGCGCAATTTTTGAAATTTAAACGTTAACAACCTGTATTATAATAACATACATTTTGAAATCTAAATCTTTCAGATGGCAAGCTCAGTGAAAGCAGGAATGTTGCTCACTCGTAATTATAAACCCAAATCCTTTCTTGGGGCCTGGTAAATAGCAAGTGCTTCATTAATGCTTGTGTGAGGATGCATTGTGGG